TCTAATTAAATTACCAACTCCATGTTTTTTAATTGTATATACAAGTGCAAAACCTCAACAGCCCAAATATTTTTAGTATCTAAGTCAAATATCCAAAAGGTTTGCTACATAATCAGAAATGCGCACACCGATATTCCTATAGTAAAGACACATTCCCTGATAACCAATCATAAGGAAGAGTGCAAGACTACCTGAGTTAGGTGTATCATCTTCCACTCCTGGGTCCCAGTGATGACACTGGGGGATTTTATGTGATACCTCCACCTTGCTATCCCAGAAACACAGGGATACGCCAGATGCATCACAAAGACCTAAGTTTTAAATATGGCTATGCCATTACTAGCTGTATGATGTTGAGTAAATCACTTTTCTTAGATTCCACCTTTTCACCTGCCTCATCAGCGTTTGTAAGGCACATACAGCAGAGTGAATACTTAGTAAATGGTTGTCATTATTATTGTTTTAGTCCACAGACTACACATTTCAGTAGGCATCCAGAGCCCGTGAGGTTCCCTCTGGTCACTGGTTGTTATAGACAATCCCTACTAAATCCCTTTTATTACAAAAACGTGTTTGAGTCACCTGTCACCTCAGACACCTTCTCTGTGCTTATCCCCAGAGAAGAGCTTAACGTGTTGTACCTTCATTTTACAGATATGGAAACTGAGGCTTAACTAGGTGATGCGATGTGTCTTGACAGCACATGGGAGTGAGTTAGCAGCAGTGTTGGCACTGTTAACCTTCTCCTTTCATAATGTCAGCTCTCATTCAATGGAGGGGTTTCCACTTAAGGGAGATGGAGACATCCCACATTTCTTTCTTGTCCTGGCCACAAGTAATCAGTCTACTAGAAGCTTCCATGGGGTAAGCACAGAAGGCTCTCTCTTTATCAATGTCATACTTTGGGAAAGTATCTCCAGTGTAGATAACAGAAAGAATAAATATTTTTGTTGAGAGAAAAAAATGAAGACACAGGTCAAAGGGAATCATGTCAGTCTACTAGAAGCTTCCATGGGGTAAGCACAGAAGGCTCTCTCTTTATCAATGTCATACCTTGGGAAAGTATCTCCAGTGTAGATAACAGAAAGAATAAATATTTTTGTTGAGAGAAAAAAATGAAGACACAGGTCAAAGGGAATCATGTAATGGGTTGAGTCAGGGAAGAAAAAGAAAGCATTTTTCCCCTCTTCTCTTTTTCTCCAAAACAGTCTTTATATAGAACTTGTATAAGAGCCAATTTATTTGATGCGGAAAAAATGTGAAAGCAGCAAAACACACATACACATGCACACACACACACAAGAGGTATTTGTGGTGGGGTTCAGAACTCAAATTACCAAGAGATAAAGGAGTTGAAATGGAAGGTTGACTTGGAATGATGTGTTTTCCTTCTCTCAGAGTCTCAGAGAACATTTAGTTTGAGAGGCCCAGCCCAGCTGAGCCCAGCCAAGCCCAGGTCTTCCATAAACTCCTTGGTCCTCAAGAGAGACAAAGAGGAAGGCAACCAACACTTCAGTCTAGCCATTGCGCCTGTCACATAATAGGAATTAAAGAAATATTTGGTGAGGGAATGAAAGAACAGATGGTGGATGAGTGTGGACCTGGATAGTGATGGTTTCGGAAGCAAATAGGTGTAGGACTTGGCATTTTTGTCAAGTGGGTAAAGTCCTTAGCACTTAGGAAAGAACCGGTCTGAGCCATCCTTATAATCCCTGATTCTCAGTACAGACTCCAGCATATTAGTAAAGGGTCACAAAAATCAACTACATTGTGTAATGATAAATATTAAAAAGCAATAAAAAATAATAATTAAAAAAAAGAATGTTCCCAGTACATATTTGTAAATTGAGGATGTAGTTGTACAAGTGAAAGAGGTGTTGGAGACTCCTGGGCCTTAGAGATCATTTAGAACAGTGCCTATTGAACTTTAACCAGCATCAGAATCACCTGGAGAGGCCCTGATTCAGTAGGCTGGGATGGGAAGTGAGAACCTGGTCTTTCTAAGTTCCCAGGTGATGCAGATCTGTTGGTCTTGGGCCAAACTTTGAGAACCTGTTTTAGTACAATAGTCCTTAAATTTCATTGCACATTATAATAACCTGGTGAGATTTTAAAAGTCCTGATGTTTAGGCCTTATTCTTCTCAATTAAATTGATGGGGGTGAAGGGATGGAGAGTGGAGAGGGATGCAGGTGAGACCCAGGAAGTTTAAAAATGTCCTAAGATTTTATAACATGCAAATTAGTTTGAGAACCACGAATCTAGTGCAACCTCCTCCTTGTAGAGTTTAGACTTCTGAATGCCAGAAAAGGTAAGTGGCTCACCTAGGGTTGTAGAGCTAGTTAGTGAGTTAGCTGAGAATAGAATTCAGGGTTATTCTAATCCTTCAGTTTAAATTCCACCATTCCACACTTATCAGCTCATGTCACCTCTCACGGGCTCATAACTCAAAGCAAAAAATGAAAGTTTTGTTTAATCTGACGTCTATAAAATATCTATTATTTCTGTCCTCCATTGTTTTACAATAAATTTTAAGTGGGTGAATGTTTATAGAACTTTACCACTGTAGTCAAGTGAGGAGATGAAAGAGACAGAGTTATGGAATATTTTCAAGGCAAGACGATCCTTTAAATGTTAAGTACATTCTCAAATACAAACCAAGTGCTCCCTCTGAGTTCTTAAACAGATGTTCTTCATCTCTGATTCAATGAATGGGCAAGGGTTTGCTTGTGATGTGCACATTAATTGCTGGCATGTAAAAGGAAGTGCTGGTAAAGTGTTTGAAAGTGGTTCTGTCTCTTAAAAAGATTAAAAGTTTCCTCCAGAACTTGGTTTCCATTAATGATTGGCTTAGTAAATATTTTCAAGTAGAAAGAACAGAGATTGTCTTATATCATCTTAGAACCAAATAAAGAGCTACAAAAAGCCTATAGAAACCATTGACTTCAGCATTTTCATCCCACAGAGGAGGAAATTGAGGCTCAAAGAGATTGACTGATTTATCTAGCATTACTAAGTGGACTGGCTGAGGCTAGATACAAGGTGTCTGACTCCTGAGCTATTGTTTCTTCTAATACTCAAAGTGTTCCCTTCCAATGTCCCTTGCACATAGTAGGTGTTCAGTGAGTGCTTGGCAATTGACTTCATAGACTCTTGGTACTCAAATTAGGTGATTAAGGCTTTATCATTTTTTAGATTAAAGCAGATGCTGGAATCACATCTTTAATTGAATACCAGTTGAATGTACTGGCTTAGGAGTCAGGATGGAATTCCAATCCTGATCTCACCATTTCCTAACTGTGTGATCATGGACAAGTGACTTCACATCTCTAAGCCCCAGTTTTCTTCTTTGTAAAACAAGAATGATAATAGGGCCATTGTAAAGAGGATGAAATTAATGACAGTTTCAAAGACCTTATCCCATCATCTGGTACATAGAAAAAGCACTAATGACCTCATAATAAGGTAGCCTTCCTCATAAAACATGAATCCTGAGATGTTTGGGGAAGAAGTGACGAAGAGGTGGCTTGAGAAGTCAATATTATAGACAAGCACTATTTCACATAAAAGCAGTGAGCATCCAGAAAGAATCATGGAGACCTAGAGCTTCAAAAGCCCCAAGGCTCAAATGGGTTTGAACCTCTGTTCCACCTCAGGAAATAAGACAAAAACAAGGCCCAGGCTTGTTATGTTCACCTTCCAGAAAAATTTTCATGCAAATACCCAAGAGCCTAATTCCCAGCCAACCTGACATAACTCCACTCCTTTCCATTCACTAAAAAAGCAATCAGAATGCACAAATCTCCTTTAACTTAATATAAGATCATCACCAAACTTCAGTTCTTTCACTTTCACTAGTAATAAATGACTTTCTCATTGCTAATCACATCAAACCTCCTTCATTTACTGTTGGGGAGACTAAGTTTCAGAGAGGTTGGTGAGGCTTAGGGTCACACATCAGAGGTGTCACCAAATCCAGGCCTCCTGGTTCCTTGTCCATCACTCTTCCCACCATATCAATTCTGCCTTGTTAAGACAATTCTACACCTAACTCTTGGGTGACAATCCCAAGAAGTGAGTCTAGCTGTCATGAAACTTCTCCTCCCGGTCCAAACCTCTCTGACCTTTCTCACATCCCTCCACAGCCCACCCCACGTGTTCTCCCTATCCAGACACTTACATGTCCAAGAATCTTCTGTTGAGATGTAGGATGGAGGCGACATCTGCCTGAAGAGGAGGGTCCCGGACCACCTTATACTGCAAGGGCTTACACTCTAGGCAGAGCGGGGTGTCTGCAATGGAGGTCAACATAGCTGCATCAATCTCCAGGTGCTCGTCCAGCGTGTAGATCTGGATACCATACACCTCCTCGCCCACATCCTGGAGTCTGATGGTCAGTGGAACATCGCAGAAGATGTTCTGAGGGCCCAGGGAAATGTTCTTTCCACTTACAGTCAAAAGTTTGATGTCATTGACAGCTCCACTAGAGTCCCAGTCGCTGGAGACAAAGGTCACCCAGACAGTCAGTGACTCAGGGACCAAGGGATAGCGGAATTCCAGCTCGAGATAGCAGCCTTGTGGCTCGGGGCAGGCTGGAGGGACCGTGTGTGGGTTGACAGCTGAATTTGGGCTCCAGGTGCGAACACTGGACTTACAGGGCTGTTCAACATCTGGATGACCTATGAAGAAGAGATGAGGAAATAAGTTCTTGAGGAAAGACCTTCATTCTGATCCTGAGTTTCCTGCAGACCCCAGGAGAAACTGGTCTAACTAGGACTTAGAAAGGAAAAAGGGAAGGGAGGATTCTCTGTGTCTTGGCGGGAAAGACCTTCATTCTGATCCTGAGTTTCCTGCAGACCCCAGGAGAAACTGGTCTAACTAGAACTTAGAAAGGAAAAAGGGAAGGGAGGATTCTCTGTGTCTTGGCAAATCTTCTGTATACATAGTACCCAGCTTGTCTCCACCCCTGCAATACAGATCTCAGGCGAACCACCAGATATTTGGTGAAAACTACATTCAGTTTAGTGTCTTACTATTAAGTCAATGGCCCACTTTTCCTCCCTCAACTTTCACTTGGAGGCTTTGCTGCCTCAGATGGAAAGAAAAAAGGGACACGTACATGCTAAACACCCTCTGTATCCCATGAACTTGTCTAATTTTTGCAAGGACTCATTTCAGAACTAAGGACACTAAAGCTCAGAAACACAGAGTGGATTGACCAAGGTCATCCACCCTGAAGTGTAAAGGTCAGCATTAAAACCTAGTTTTTTGTTTGTTTGTTTGTTTGACTGGTAAGGGGATCACAACCCTTGGCTCAGTGTCGTCTGCACCGCGCTCAGCCAGTGAGCGCACCAGCCATCCCTATGTAGGATCCGAACCCGCAGCCTCGGTGCTACCAGTGCTGCACTCTCCTGAGTGAGCCACGGGGCCGGCCCCAAACCTAGTTTTGTTTCATTCTAAAGTCCATTCTCTTTGTCTTCTCCCTGTTGGAAGCAGGGACCACTAAAATAAATTAGAATCCCTGTGGTATTATTGCCTTTGGTACAACCCACTTGGACTGACAGAAATGCCAGGAAATCCCCAGCAAGGAGTAGGTGAATATGGATAGCATCTGGTTTTGGACCAAGGATCTGTGAAGAAACCGTCTGGAACCATGAAAGACAGAGCTGGAAGGCAGCCCTGGGGCCATCTTATCTCTCCTCCTCCCTTTCCCTACATGAGGTCATTCCATACCAAGGAGCTTCTCCGAGCTCTGTCCAGCCTGACTCAGGAAGGGGAGGGTTGGGTGAGGAGGGGGAGAAGGAAGGAGGAAATTCTTCTACATTTTCCCCAGGGAGATGATGCCTCATCCCCACTGATCTCAGCCTGCAGTGACTTCTAAATTTTTCTCTGCTGAGATCACATCTAGACCCTCAGAGAGCTCTCCCTTGCACTGCTGAGAAAAGTAATCAGGACTCGATGTAGCTGTTGGCTCTAATTTGTTTAAGAGAGTCTAGTAAGAGATACAGATCAGCTGGTGAGATTAGGATGGAGAACTTAAGATGTCCCTATTAGCCACATTCTTTTTTTTTTTCTTCAACATCAGTGGTTACTGGGGGTAGGGGTGAGATGCTGGGCATTTCTAAAGCAATTGAGAAAAGGTGATCTTTGAAAAATGCATTGTAGTAATGTTACAGGGAAATAGGATTAATCACAATATGAATGCTAGAAGTCCTTTTGGGGCAGAAAAGCTATTCCAATGAAGGCTGTAAATACCTCCAAACTCCTTACCTCTACCCAGCCAAAGGAAAAGAGAGAAGCCACAATTGGGGATGGGGAAGAGAAGAGGAAAAAGAAAAGAAGGGGGAAATGGATGAAGAATTTTTTTAGATGTAATGCATCAGAAGAAGAAGAGGTGGATATAACTATGAGGTTCCCCCCACTCCTTCTCGGCTAAGTGCATTCATTACTCATAGCAACTGCTGGCTGGAAGCGACACTTAGTTTAAGTGAAAAGTACAAAAAAGACTTCCCACCTAGCTGAAGGCTTTTCTTCTGTTCACTGTTCAGCCCACTGAGTTCCTGACTCTCTCAACTTTGTGTATTGTTGGCGCACATGTATACTTATTCATTCAGTAAACTTTACTGGAGGCAACACTTTACAGTGTCTGAAGGGCATTCCCTAGTCACTCCCTTGTTAACTCATCTGACTGTCACCAGAATCCTGTAAGATATTTATCCTTTTCATCTCTATTTTCTAGCTCTGTTTCACTCAATACCATATAGCCTTTGCTTAATACAGTTACTGGTCCATAGAGATACTCATAGCACACAGTGGATGCTCAAGAAATATTTGTTAAATGAGGAATTTTCTATCTTGTTAATATGGAATTAGAAAAGAAGTTATAGCACAGACTATCAGAGCCTGCTGCCTGGGTGGTGGGTGTGAGGGGAACATGGCTTTCTCCTGGAATTGGCAAGGGATAAAGCCATCTTTCTCCCTTCCTTGGAGAAAACAATTGTCAGTGGTGGGAAGACATAAGACAGCAAGGATGAAAATTTGTTTGGTTCATCCTTCCTCCCTGATTTCTTGTTAATCAACAGAGGGACCAAATGCTTGAGGACAGGAAGGTGAATCTGGTCATTATGGTTAAATAAGTAAGTAGGAGTAGAAATCTTGGCAAAGCTTGTGCTTGTCTGCCCAGCTAAGGGAGAAGAGACAAACTCTTAGATGTGAAAAAGTGTCCCAAGCATCATCAATTCCAACCTGTCACCAAAGCAGCAACCCCTGTAATAATACCAGGATTCACGAATTGACCAACCTCCATGTGCAGGCATCATGCCAAGCACATTATATGCCTCAGGTCTTTCCATCCTAGCAGTAAGACTATGACGCAGGTTTTATGAAACTCATTTTACAGAAGAGGAAACCAAGACTCAGATGGCTGAGTAATTCTCTAGGAGGGAGTAGAATATTGTGTGATACTGTTGGTTCAGGCATGTGCCAGGCTTTGAAGCAATAAATGTTGGGTTAAAATATCAGCTGTACCTACTGCAATGTTACCTACCTCACAGGGTTGCTGTAAAACTCAATGGTGTGGATCTTTAATAGATGCTCACAAATATATTAGCTCTGTCCTGAAGAGTAAGGAGAAATTAACAGCAACAAAAAATCTTAGTAGAAGGAGGTATTCCAAGCAAAGAGAACAGTTGAGAGAGACTGTGAGTTAAGATGACTAGTTTTGAGTGCAATGGGAGAGCAGCTAGTACTGATGGCCAAGAGAAGCAGAACCCATATTAGTCTTCTCTGCCACACTAAGGAAATGAAACTTTATACTGAGATATGTGGAAAGCTACTGAGATATTTTAAGCAAATGAGTAGCATAAGATTTGTCTTTTAGAAAAGGCACTCTTTAGAGACACAGATACTATCCATGCATCCATCCATCCATCCATCCATCCACCCACCCATCCATCCATCCATTCATGCATTCAAAGAATAATTATTGAGTGCCAGAGTTAGGCTAGTCCCTGGGCAAACAGGTTTCCAGACATGGTCTCTGCCATCATGCAGATTCTAGTCTAGTGAGATCAGTTAGGAGACTGTGGCACTAAAGCACAGAATACATGACTATGACTCGGACAAAGAGCATCAGACAAGAAGACAAGTCAGAGTTCCTAAGGAGGAGGAATGGATATAGCTGAGCATGAGATTAACTGAACATGTGGTTGTGAGATGGGGAGGGGGGTGAGGGAAGGAAAAAATGAGTGGAGTAAAGAAGAAAGGAAGTAGAGGGAAGGAGGGAAGGGGGAGAAAAGGACGGAGGGGGAGTAGAGGAAGGGGAGCATGAGATTAACTGAACATGTGGTTGTGAGATGGGGAGGGGGGTGAGGGAAGGAAAAAACGAGTGGAGTAAGGAAGAAAGGAAGTAGATAGAAGGAGGGAAGGGGGAGAAAAGGACGGAGGGGGAGTAGAGGAAGGGAAGAAATGAAGAAAAAAATAAGGGGAAAGAGAGAAGTGCAAAGGTCCTGTTACTTCATTATTAATATATATTCTTTTGTGTATATGTTGACTAAATGAAAAGTCACATTTTTATATAAGCTGTCCACTAGAAATAAGGCCATATATCTGTGCAGAAATATATTTATACACACTTATGTTGATTTAAATTTACATTTAGGATGATCTGTACAGACATCTGTCATATGTATACATGTATATACACTGCCACTGTTGACACAAATATAGTTATAAAAATTTGATGCCAAGCTTTTTTTCCAGATGAATAGTTCAGCATGCCTGAAATATTCTGGGAAGAAAAATGGAGAAAACACTCACACACATTTAAAAAAATGAAAACAGCTAGTGCCATGTGTTAATCTCTCCTGGAAAACCCAACACTTGTAATGTATTAAATGTATTATATGCTTGCATAAGTGATATTAACTAGGATTTGAATCAGTCAGATTCAGCTATCTAATTCCTGGGCTACAAGTATAACATGGTACTAAATACCTCAGGAGATATTCATCTATAAAGCATAATTCTTGCTCAAGAGATGGGAGCTCAATTGCTTTCTGCAAACAAAGGCAAGTAGTTCTATGACTGTATTTACCTTCTTTAAAATGAAATTAATGCAACATAATGAATGTTCAAAATAAACATGTGCTAAATGAAGAATCGTCTATCTTGTTAACATGGAGTTAAAAAAAGAAGTTAAAGCTCCATGGAGGATTAGCGATGGAAAGGACATTACAGTTCAACTCTTCATTCTGTATATAAGATACCATCTTCAGAGAAGAAAGTGACTCACTCAAGGGCACAGAGTATGCTGATGGCAGGGCTAGGACCAAGGTCCAGACTTCTTCATCCTCCCCCCATGCTCTTTCCCAACCCCACAAATATGTCTGGCATCGCTCATGAATTTGGGAGTTATATGTTAGTTTGAGAAGTCCAAAAACTTAAACACTCAAAGATAAATAGGATGAAAATGAGTTGAGAAATAAATTGCAGAGTTTGGCTCATGGAAAAGTTTATTTCTTCAAGGATATTAAAAGGGTCTGAGCCAAACGAGTCACAGAGCCTGTAATAGGATGCTCTAAAAAAAGAACAGTGTCTTTTCCTGGCCAGTATGTACTAAATTTACATAGGAGGAAACCCCAGGGCTGCTGGGTTTCCTTGGAAGTCTGAGTCAGCTCAGGGGCTCATTGCCTTTAGCTGAACTTCGTTCTGCATATCACACTGTAAGAGGGTCAGGGACAAACTAGGCACAAGCTTCATCAACTGACAGTTGGGTTGGATGGATGTGTGGGGAGAAGTCTAGAAAGGACCTCATTTAAACAAGTGGTAGAAGAAACCAAGATGATTTTAGCTAGAGAAGTCTCGGGAGAGAGCCTTGCTGATTCTACCTCCCAAATATCTCTCAACTCCATCGACTTCACCCAGGCCACCACTATCCCTTACCGTTCACCTAGCCGTTCCCTTTGCTCCACACCCCCTTCCCCCAAACTCCTCTCCATAGAGCAGCTGAGCAGTCTTCATAACACGCCATACCCCTTACCGTATACCATACCCCTCCCAAGGCACGGGGTGTCTCTTCACTGCCCTCTGTGTGATTCCAAACCCATCCTTACCCGGTCATTATCCATCTCTCCCATCCAATCTTTTCCCGCCCCACCTTGCTCTTTATTCTCTCAACCCATTTAAACTCTTACAGCATTATTGAGGAGCTTTTGCTTATGTAGATCATATCTATTAGTAGTCACCATTTGCAAATTAAAGTTATGAAATTTTAAAACTCGATAATACACAAGTGTGAGTTTTATTGGGTATGGGAGCATTAATAGCATCATATGTCATGTATCCACTGGAAAACTCTCCTGTACTCTCAGGAGAGAATGAGGGTGAAAAAGACAAATGATGTCATAGTATTATCATTAAAATAATCTTGACTTTGAGAACACCCTGAAAAAGTCTCCAGGAACTCCATAAATCTCTGGACTACACTTTAGAAGACTGCCGCTTTAAACATACCGAACTTATTTCACATTCTCAGTGAATGATCCTTGCTCGTGGTGGTGTGACATTTTGTGGAAAGCCTGACTCTTTGGTTCTGGGTGAGGTCCCCTTCTTATTGGTCCCCAGCACTCTGTATTCCTATTAGCATAAGCTTCTTTACATTGAATGGTAATTGCTCATTTACTTATCTGATTCCTCTAGCAGATGGTCAGTGCTGCCTTGCACATGTACCCAGGATATTGCCCAGCACATAGTCTCCGTGGTGGTCACAGGTGAGCCGGGTTCACTCCATGAAAATATACAAAGTATTGCCAAGTGGCAGAGACACACATCTTCTGCGTGAACCCAAAGTGCATTCAGTTTGGGTGGAAAAATTACGATTTCAACTTTCTAAAGAATGGAACTACAACAGGTTGCCAGGGAACCTCAATGAGGAAGTGCATAGAGGGGATTCCTGCAGTGGGTGGGGGCTGGGGCTGGATGACCCAGGGCGTCCCTTCCAAGTCTGACAGCCTGTGATTCTGTGAGGCTGAACTAAGGGTTTCTCCCAGACATGCCTGTAGCTTTACATTCCACATGGATATGTTTAGAGTGCTTGAGTTCAACTCTCATTTTTATTTTAAGCTACTTTAGAGAATAAAGTACATGCTGTCATTTTTCAACTTCACTTTCCTCTCTGATCTCTCTCCCTTGCTTTATTCTATCTATGGCTTTTCCTTTCCAACTTTCTTTCTAAAAATACAGAGGATAGAGAAGGAGTTCTCATTGATGATCAGTGAGGAGACAGATTCCACTCCTCCTGATGAACTGGTGTAACAGTGTCCCCACCCAGTGACTGTTGGCATGAGCTGACCTGCACAGGAGCAAGAGGGACTGGGCTGGAAAAGGTCTACATGTAAGTCTCTGAGAGCCAGCGAGGGAAAGATGGAAGACTGAGAGGAAAGCATGGGGTCTCTACCAGCCCAGCTTCAGGGCCAAGTGACAAAGTGCAGCAACAAGCACTTGGCAAAAGGTCTTCTCAATATCTATAGAAAACAGAGGCTGCTTTCTGTAGAAAACAATGATGCTGTAAAGAAGCACAGAGATTGTTGGCTCCTTGGGAGGTCTGGGAGACACACGCTGAGCAGGGAAGGGTCTGATTGTGGGTGGAGCCCACAACAGTGGAAATCCTGAAGTGCCTCCCTCAAGTGTCTTGCAGGTAAATGGATCCCAATAAAGAGGTTACATGGAAAAAATTAAAAGGAATAGTGGTGACACATGTGATAATGCTCTGGGTAGTCTCAGAAATAACTGAAGAAGAATCAAAGACTACTGATGGCTTGAAGCCTCCAAATACATGTATTGACTCTAATGTGACCTTGTCTGTATGGAGGCTATATTTCCCCCTCCCCCACACATACATGTCTTTTTCAGGTGTGAGGCCTTGGACACATTTAATATCTTGGTGCTCTTATTTCTTCATACATAACTTGGTAATAACATACCTAGGACAGTGCAGGCACTCAAAAAATATTTGTAAAATGAATGAGTGCATGAATAGTGGCCTTGCAGGGAGATATTAAGATTGAGTGAGATGGTATACAGGAAAGACCATTGAAAGAACTGTTCTTTGCACATCCACCTGTCAATGAGCTTCTGGAAGGCTGGCTTACCTTCTGCTTCTCGAGGGCTCCAGTGTCCAGATGGGCCGCAGGGCATTGGGGAGGAGGCATTGAAAGCATACTGCACCAGGATTCTCCCTTCCAGACAAAGGTCACATGCTGATCCCAATTCTCTAGGAGGCCAAGGAGAGAGGGGAAATGCACCAACTTAGGAACAATTGAGAGAGCAACTGAAAGGATTAGGCCAAAGGCAACAAGATGGAAGACGCAAGTCTGTTACCTCCTTTCCTCCTTACACATGCCAAGGCTTCCAGAAGATGACTGTAAGTGAAATTCCTCCCCATTGCCAGTAAGAACCTTGTAAGGGCCTAAATGACTTCTGTTTTGATGGCGCATACACTTGTCAAGCAGCACAGAATCAACAGGCCAAAGACTCACCACTTGTAATAATTTTAATTTCACCAGGCATGAAAAGCTCCACTGAGAATTTGCTGGGTGTTGTGAGAAAGTCTTTTGCCCACTTTTGTCCTCAAAATTTACTCCCTTAACAATATTTATCAGGTACCTACTATGCGCCAAACACCATACGGTGTCTTAGTCATTAAATATGAAGAAGGCTTAGTTCCTTCATATGAAAATGAGTGGCCTGATTAGATGATGCCGAAAGAACCTTCCAGTCCTACGCTCTGGGGATGGATGAATCACTCCTCGATTTAACAGTCAAAAGCAGTTTTCTTACCATGCCATCTAATTCATTTTAGCAGCTTTCCAAGAGGCGAGCCAATCCCTCAATGCTACCAGCCCCAGAAGTGGAATATTACGATGGCTTCCCCTACTGTCTTGTGTTTTGTGTATCTGGATTCAATCTCCCTTTGGCCATAACCACCTCTGGGATCGTACTTGTTCTCCAGATTTGGCATCTGTTCAGGAGGCAGTTGTTGGGAAGGGTGGGGGATGAGTCCTCTCCTCCGTATTACTGCGAACCCAAAACTCTGCAAATCTGAGCAACCTCTGCAGAGGGACTAGAAACTGAATCTCAGAAAGACAGAAAGAATGTCTCAGCCCAAACCATTATTTCTCAAAATGAAATCGCCCTGCTAATACCTCTTTCATCATTCCTAGAAGAATCTCTATGCTTTGGCTACATGAAAGAACACAGTGAGAGAGCCAGATCTCATGGAGAAGCTCTCTCTGCCTTTGGGCTCACATGGTTAAGGAAGAGCATGCTATGAGCACCACAGTTTGCTAATGCTCCCCACAGATACCAGGAGATCCTCCCCAAATCTCAATCTGAACAGGTCATGCCCTTGCTGATCTCCTTTGGTAACTCCAGCCCCTAATGCCTTGTGACATGGCACTGCATGCAATCACAAAGAATTGTCCTTGCTACTCTAGCTTTTCTCTCCACTGTAAGCTCTGCCTAGCCACTGTGTTGTGTCACGTGACCCACACCCCCCATCCCACACTTTTTTACCTGGTTGACATTTCTTATCCTTCAAAGTTCACCTTGGGCATTATTTTCTCTGTGAAAACTTTTTTTGGTATACAAGTGATTTTCTCTCAATAGACTGTGAGTTCCTTGAAGACAAGGTCTATGTCTTAGGATTCTCGTTTTCTCTCAGGATTCAGCACATAACTTACTTCCTAGTATTGGTCAGCGTATGTAGTTGAATAGATGGATGAATGAATACCAGTCACTCAGGCACACTGTTAATACTCATGGCTAACCTAGTCTAGACCTTCAAATTGCAGATTTTGCATCTTTAGCCTTATCATTGTAGAAGTGAAACCATACATAGGTAGAAATTTTGCAAGCAAACTAATACTTACTGATAGTAGAGTAATTACATAGCCCATGGTTAATATGCTTAATGGAATGGGTGTGCAATTATTACAAACATATTTATAAAGATTATGAAATTTGATTGAAAATATGTAAGCTGTAACACTCAGTGAAAAAGTCATATTCAAAGCTGAACATACAGCAGAATCTTAATGCTGTTAAGATAACCTTATGTGACAAAACATTATTAGCAATAATTTCTGTGTGTTGGAACATAAGAAGATTGATTTTCCCCCTACTTTTATTCTTCCTGGTTTTCAGAATTTTCTATATGTTTTAAATACATTTGAGTCACTCTTGGATTAGCACTAATAACAATTTTACGAAGATACTTGTAGGCAGGGAATTAGGGGTGGAGAGATAGACTTCTTCACTACCACTGATGAGAGCAGGGTTCCTTTACAATGACCTCAATCCATGCATAGCAACTCCTGGTCCTATGACTGGCTTTATAATGACAATGAAGTTACAAATGTCCTGGCGTGGATTCAGAAACCACGCTGGCCTTAATGGCCATTGGGTTTTTCTTACTATTTCCTAGATTTTCATTTTTGGAGATACATATAATATCACCTAAACATCATTTAATTCTTGACATATCCCAGGTTCCCAGTAAATATTCTGATGAGTGAACAAATCATCCATCATTCAGCTGACAGCAAATGTGTGGTGTCCTACACATCCAGGGAGGGTATAATATGTGTTTCCTACCTTTGGCATTTATTTGATTTTCATGGGCACCTGCATCTACACACACACACACACACACACACAGAAATCATAGACATACAGGATGTTAATGCTTGGTTACCCAGGTTCTGTGAGAGTCAAAGCTTAAAACTCTAAGTCTGCACTGTCTAATGTGGCAGCTACCAGCCACATGTGGCTATTTAAATTAAAACTAATTAAAATTAAATGAATTTAAAAATTCTGTTCCTCAGTCACACTAGTCACATTTCAAGTGCTCCATAGTCACAGTTGGCTAATGGCACCATATTGGACAGTACAGATATAGAATGTACAATTTGTGGTAATTTGTATACAGCCAGTATGAATCTGGCCCCCACATCACGGGCACAAGGGGTGACAATCAACTTTGTATCTCATCAATATTCATAACCAATATAAAAAGAAGAAAGAGAGAAAGAAAGAAAAGAACATTTCCATTATTGCAGAAAGTTTCATTAGACCGTGCTTCTCTAAGAAATATTCTGTTATAATGAATTAACTTCTCTCCTATGCAACTAGAATGGTACTAGTTATGTACCAGCGTTGGGTGGATTGAGAAAAGTTACTCAAATTATTTTTTTGTGTTCTGAGATCTGGAAGAGAAACCTTGGTTGAGAAAAGCTATAACACTTTTGGCTTACAGATCAGAAAGCTGAGGCCAAAAAGGCAGAGGGAATGAGTGAGGTTACAAAGACTTTATACCCAGGTCTCTTGGTTCTCAGTCCCAGTACTCTTCTCAATATACCATAGCAATTGTTCAGATAACTGAAACCATCCAGTCAACACATGTTTGCAAGACAGATAAAAATAAAGGAGTTAGAAAAACCAGGGGTGGCCTTGAATTATTTATTCAGTTGCCCATATGTGAGGACACAGGCTGTGGGAGGATCTGAATATGTTTTTTTAAGGGAAACCCTTGTATTCTCTTAGACCACAGATGTGAGAACAGCAGGAGAACATGAGGATGGCCAGGGGCGAGAGGTTGGCATTGATGGATGTAGTGGAAAACACCAGAGGCTTTGCAGGGAAAGGGAATTTTCAAGTAGCTAAGCCGCTTTAAAAAACACTGCATGTAATGGGAGCTAATATTTCTTGAACCTAGAATGCATGTGCTTGGCAGATCACAAATATAACCTTGTTAAAATCGACACAAAAGCCAGGTGAAGTGGGCACGGTAAGCACCTTTTCATGGAAGAAGACTCAGAAGATCAGAGAGGTGAGATGGCTTGTTCACAGTCCCATCGACTGAGAGTGACAAAGCTAACAGAAAATGGACAGCCTGACATCGAAGCCTGAACCCTCTGTACTAAGCCAATTTGCATAAGCATAAACTCCATGTGCATGGAAGAGTGACATACATAAAATGTAGTTCCATTTCTTTCCAACAATGTATTGACCTTGTTGTTTGACTTCCTTTAGCTATAGGCTATGGTCTACGTAGCTGTTAACCCTAATTAGACACGTTTCGAAAATGTCAGTTTTAATTTAACCTATGATAACTCTGTTATGAAATCTTAGACTGCACAGAATAGCTATTGTATGTGCCTCAAGTACCAAGTGACTATTGGTTATTAAAAACATATTGATTGAAGCTGAAGGCACTATGTAATAGAGATATATCTCATTACACAACAATTAACCCTCCAATAGGTTTCCAACAATCAGATGGTATTTATTTAATGGACAATAACTGCTTTATGAAATACAAATTGAATACATACACAGGAAGCTTCATTTACAAAACTTCCATTTTTAAGTGGAATCCAGGCCAAGGCTTGACCAAAAGTCTGATATTTCTCATTGCCACAGAAAAAATAAATAAATCTACAGACTGCTAGAAAGCTTGCTCTGAAGTGTCACATGAGGTTTCCCAAACCCAGCTCTGAGCTCCCAGTGAGGGTGGCTGGAGCAGGGGAAGGGAAGTTTCGACAGAGAGTCTAGGAAATATATTTCCTTCCCCTGTGATCACTTCTGCTCAGCTGTCAAAGGAAGGTTCTAGATTGAGAGAATGATGTAATGTGGAAAATTAGAGCTCAGAATTTTGTGGTATCATGATCTGCTTTTTCTAACTTTAAAAAAATTTTCATCTATTTACTTTTAAAATTTTATTTTTAATTGATATTTATGAGGTAAAATACGATGTTTTAAAATGTTTATGATGCAAAATGATTAAATCAGGCTAATTAACATATAGTCACCTCTCATATTTTTTTGTAATGGTTAAAACATTTAAAATCTACTTTTAGCAACTTTGAAATATAGAGTGCATTATTATTTATTATAGTTACCATTCAGTGCAATAGGTCACTAAAGGCTAATTCTCCTGTCTTACTGAAACTATGGGCCCTTTCATGAACATCTGCTTTTTCCCCAACCACCCCCTCTCCCAGCCTCTGGTAGCCAACATTCTATTCTCTGCTTCTAGGAGTTCATCTTTTTTAGAACTTTTTTAGGTTCTACATATAAGTGAGTTCATGTGGTATTTGTCTTTCTGTGCCTGGCTTATTTCATTTAGTATAATGTCCTCCAGATTCAACCATGTTGTCACAAATGACAGAACCCTCCCCCCTTTTTAAGGCTGAATAGTATTTCATTATGTATACAAGAGTACTTCAAAAGGTTCATGGGAAAAGTCATATGATCTTTTAATTAGATTTTTCCATGATCTTTTTGAAGTTCCCTTGTACATACATTTTTTTTATCCATTCATTTAATAATGGACACCTAGGTTTCATATCTTAGCTATTGTGAAAGTGGGAGTGCAGATATGTCTTTGGCATACTGATTTCAATTCCTTTGGATATATACCCAGAAGTGGGATTGCTGGATCATATGGTAATTCTATTTTTAATTTACTAAGGAACCACCATACTGTTTTCCATAATGAGTGTATTAATTTACATTCCCACTAACAGTACACAAGGGTCCCCTTTACTCCAAACCCTCACCAACACTTGTTATCATTAGCATTTTGATAATTGCCATTCTAACAAGTGTGAGGTAATATTTCATTGTGGTTTTAATTTGCATTTCCCTGATAATTAGTGATGGTTGAACATTTTTTCATATATTTGAGGGCTATTTATATGTCTTCATTTGAGAAGTGTCTATTCAGTTGCTTTTCCTTTATACATACACAGACACAGACTTGCAAATGTGAGCTTCCTGCCATCTCGTTGTGGCTCTTTTAGGGGGAGATGTGGCAGGTCCTTCATAACTCTAGTTTTGGAACAACTTTATGAAAGCACATGGGAGTCTGAGACAGGACATTGCCAAATGTGAGTCGCAGCTCAGCCCCCACCACTTTCTATGGGCTCTTGGTCAGATCTCTCAGCACCTTTCAGCTCGAAATCTTTCTTTATCTGGCAAATGAGGAAGAGAATCCCCTTCTTATAGGGTTACTGGAAAGATTAAATGAGGGTCTGTATATAAAGCATTTAGTGCAGAATCCATCACATAGTGAGCCCTTGATAAGCAGCAGCAGCCACAATAAGTAATGATAATTAATTATAAGCATGGTTATTATTTTCACCATCATCAATGCTATATCACTGTTACTGGATGACACATCTCCAAAAAGAGCTGGGAGTGGGGGTAATATATTAATCTTCCCTGAAATACAGCAAACTTCCAAAATAGACGTAAACATTTTGGTCTGTTTTCATGACACCTTTAAATCTGGTTCCCTTAAAGCCTGAGCCCCTCAGGGAATCTCCATGCTAAAAGGTACCACAAGAGACCACTTGGTCAGGTCTCCACCTTCAGTCCAGTGTAGCATCATGAGACCCATTTTTCAGGGTAGAAGAATAAGACTCAGAGAGGAAAAGTGACTTGTCCAAGATCATATAGCTAATTAGTGACAGACAGGGGAAGAGAACTGAGGTATCTTTGTGCCTCAGTTTATCCATGCCTGGTCTTCTAAAAATTCTACCTTCAGTTCTACAAGTAAACACTGGGAACATTCAAAGATTGTGATTATATATTATATATGTATACATGAATATATACATACACACACA